AGTGAGTGGAGTGATGAAAAACACATGGAAGAAAAGAAGCAATTTTTTTAATTTGCCATATTGGGAGCATAATTTGATTCGTCATAATCTTGATGTAATGCACATAAAAAAAAATGTATGTGACAACTTGATTTATACATTGTTAGGTCTTGGTAAAAAGTCAAAAGATAACTTAGAAGCTCGGTTGGACTTGATGAACATGAACATAAGACCAAGTTTATGACCTCAACAACAAGTTAATGGAAGGACATACCTACCTCCCACCTATTTTACAATGTCTTCAGAAGAAAAAAAGTTATTCTATGAAGTATTGGAAAATACTAAATTTCCACATGGCTATGCATGTAATATCTCATGCTACATTGGATTTCTAATATCTAACGCTGCATCTAATATTTCCACATGGAAGTTATAGGGTTTCTAATAAAGCAAAGGTAATAAGTGTTCTATGTGAGATTTAGTGAAATTTACTAGTTGAAACATTGTTTTGGATTTAGTTTATTATAACCATAAGATGATGTTATGATGTTAATATGGGTTATCTTCAAAATATGTATACATAGAGTACTTTCATTGCAACACCATATCATATTAGAGGCTTATTACACTTTACTATAATGCTGTCATGATATAATATTAACTACTTTTTTTATTGTAATGATAGAAACGTAGTCAAGCAAATCGAGACAATATAGCAAAGCAAAAGATGCCTCACACTGGAGGATCCAAAAGCATTAGAACTTTGATGGATGAAAAGGTATTATTAAAAATTTACAAAATGTTATATACATATGTTTGTGGTAAGACTTTGATTAATTTAACTTGATTTATATTAGGCCAAAGATGGAATAAAGCCTACACAAGCAGAAATTTTCATCTTAACTCATAAAAAACTTAAAGATGATAGGCCATTAGATGAAGAGTATGCAAAAACAACAGTAAGATTTTTTTCTGAAATTTTATCTTTAATAAATTATATTTATATTATTTTGTAAATGAGCTTGAGTATGTTATGAATTGCAATGCTTGTTATACTTAAGAAATTATGCAAGAAAAGTTGAATAATGGTGAGACTTCATTGAATGAAAAAACTGCTGGAAGTGTTGCTTGGGAAGGAGATGTGTATTCCCAAGTGTTGGAAAATGAAAGAAGCGACTATGTTCGTGGTTTGGGACTTGGTCCAACTTCTTCTTTGCTATGGAGTAGTAAATCTTCCTTAAAAAATATTATCTAGGATAATACATCTAATGAAGCTATCCAAATGTTAGAATAAGACATAAAAGAACTAAAGGAAAAACATGATGCTGAAATAAGTTTGATGAAACAAAATCAAGACAAGTTATTATCAGAGTTGTTTTTCATGAGACAAGCTATGGGTAAGTTTTTTACTACTGAGTTACCTGGATCTCAAAATTGTAATAGAAGCTCGTTTAGACATGTAAGATTCTCAAATTAAGCTTTTAAACTTTATTTTTTCTTAAAATGTGTTACTATAAGTTTATTTTCTCATAACATAATATTTTCTAGATGCTTGATGCTTATAGTGGCCTTGAACAAGTAGGATAAACACTTCACTCACATGGTGTTGATGAAAAGTGTGCACTTTCTCATGGTATTATATTTTTATTTTTATATGTTAATATAATGCTCATTCTTGTAGTTTTTATGTTTTTCATATATTTACCACTATAATTATAGAATTATTTTTATTAATTTGCAATTTTCTGTGGTATTTGTGTTATGTGTAGCAACTTTTAAAAAGTTAAATGGTGAAAGAGGTGGAGATTTAGAAGCTTTATGTCATATTTCAGTTCGATAAGTATTTTATTTACATATCATATTATATATTACATGCTACTATTTCATTATGTGCCATCTTCCTCTCCTTCTCCTTCTTTTACCCAAATGCAATGCTTTTCATGTTATTATGTCATTATATTCAGTTAGGTTTAGCCATTGGTTGTTTTTTTTTTTTATAAAATATTTTCTTGTTAAGGAATTGAGGTTAACTTTGGCAGTTGAAAATTTTCAGACTCTTATGGTGGTGATGTTGTTGTTATTATTATTATTATTATTATTATCACAAAAGTCTGTGTTATTATTTATTCTTGTTATTTTATTTATTTATTTTTTCACTGGATGTTCGAGTTTTATGGATGATTGATAAAATATATAATAATGGAGAAAAAGAAAGGTTTGGATCTCATTCGGGACATCTCTTTTCTCCTTGTTTTGTAGTCGTTAAGGATGTTTTTGTTATTCTAAAGCAACAACATGGTGGTTGCTAGTGATTAGTTATCTGTGTGTCTCACTTATTCTCTAAAACTTATTATTACACTTTGCATTATTAATATTATTATTACTATTTTTTAACCTTTTGATCTTAGTTGAATTTGGGACTCTGCAGAATAAAAATTGACACTGAACTTTCAATGACCTAAAGAGTTAAACAACTAAATTTAGTCATATCATTGGTGATTGGAACTTTTGAACTTGAGGAAGATGGCCTACATTATGGAATTTTAGACTTCTCTTATACTGCTTGTTCTATGTTGTTAAGAGACATAGTTTATAATTGTTTTGACAATTGAAAGATTAGAAAACTCTGAATAACAATGCGAAAGAAAATGATAGTTGCTTGATACAAACTTTTTACTTTGATATTACATTGGGAATTATTCAAAGTAGATGATAGCATTGCTTTCATATTACGTGTTTAGATCTTGGAGCATTTTAATTTTATTTGATATTTGAGTTATGTTTGTTTAGAGCAGGCTATCTATATGTCTTATGTGCTTGCTATATTGTTTTTTGGGATTTAAAATCTATGGCGTAAGTGCTATATGACTAACTTTTCAGCTTTAATCAAATTAAGCATGTTTAATTTTTAGTAATCAAATTATTAATATTTAAAAGATTATAAATTATTAATAAAAATAAATTTAAATTTTTAGCAGCAATAATAAAAGCTAATAAATGAATAAAAAAATAAATTTTAAAGTTAATTTTAGTAACCATTTAAATTATCATTAATATTTGTCATTATAAATTATAATTTTTAACGACAATAAATTAAATTTTTACTAACATTCTTTACCATGGTCACTAAAATTTTTACCAACATTAAATATAACGGCAAATAATTTTTTGTCAGTAAAATTTTTAATGACTATTTTTATTGCCACTAAAAACTATAAAAATTGTTATTAAAAATTATTTTTATTGTAGTGATCACATGGCAGCAGATTATGTTACTATCAATTGTTATTTTATTAACATTAGTTGTGTCGCTATTTCTTAAGTTGACACTGCTAATAGAAAATAAAATTTAATATGTATATTGATAGTATATTTTTTGACACTTTATTACTCCAACCTTAGGCAGCATCAATCACCCTGTTTCTCCATTCACCCCATCTAAAAAGAAAAAATAAAATAAAATTACTGTGCATTCACTGCATTGTACAAAGAATGTCAAAACTTTGAAGCGCTTTTTGGTAATTTTCGTTTAGACAAATTGCGTGCTGAAAGTTTATGTAACAGCTAAGTTTGGTAATTTCAATCTCCTTCTAGAATATATAAAGAATGCATGGAGTAGGAAAAGAATAAGATTGATAGGGGAAATAATGAACATAACTCTTTTCAACTAAATGTAGAGAGTCTAAATGATAATTTTAGTTTGTATGATTGATGTCTAAACACTTTCTCTTGAAGTCAAACAATATCCTTTTGGTCTGATATTAGAATGCGAAACAAATATACGATATTCTATATATTTAAAAGGTGTACTGAGTTAGAAATTGAAAACATTTACTTGGAAATTGTGGGCAAGAGAATATTTCGGTTTTACTTTGTTTTCTTAATGACAGAAGTTGTGGAGTTAAAAGGTGAAAAGTTATCAATTTCTTATTTCATTGTACTAGAGTTTGAATAGATATTATGATTAGATTTAATGCATGGATGAGTTTTTCTTTTACACGATTAACTCTACTCTCTTGGCCAATGCTATGCGGAAAAAACCTTCAAACTGGAAATGGAAGTGTGATTGTAAAGTCACTGGTATTTGATGGCTGAGTATAACGATATTATTAATGTATTAAAAGGACACAACTTTCAACCATAGAAAATTAGAAACTGTTACTTTTGTTACACGTTATAACTACATAATAAATTAGGACAGATATCCACAAAATGATATCGATGTTTTTAAGGATGATAGCTTTATCCGTACATGAATGTGATTATATTTTTTATCCATTAAGAATAAAAAAAATACTTGATTATGCGCCTCTCTCTCTCTCTCTCTCTATATATATATATATATATATATATATATATATATATATAAATTTAATTCATATAAAATATTTGTTTATAATTTATTTCTATTGAAAGATGTAATTTTTTAAATGAGTGTAAAAAATAAATTTTATCTTTATTTATTATCATATATGATTCAGATTAAAACATTTAAAGTTATCTGAGTTTTTAAAATTTTAAATTTTAATATAAAATTGGTTAATTCATTTATCAGATTATATATATTAAATTTTACATGATTTAGACATTTGTAAATATTATTTAAGATTTGATATTTATTTATATTTAAAATATATTACTAGTTGAAATAAAATAAGATAATTAAATATTTAATAATTTTATTTTTAAAATTATAAAATTAACTTAATAAATTTTTTTAAGTAATATAAATATTTAAGTATGGCAAACTCATATATATATATATATATATATAGTTTATTATTAATTTTTTGTATTAATTAATATAAAAATAACATTCATTTTAATTAAAAAATAGTGCAAAATTCTTTATAACTATATTGCTATAAAATTAAACAAAAATATAATAAATTGATAGATAGACACGTAGGCAGTGATTAATTGCCATTTGATTGATTGCTATGTACTTAGCAGTTGTCATGAATTGATAACTCAAAAACCACTGCAGTGTACAATGAAGAGATCAACAAATTCTGATTAAATCATAACATACCCCTTTGAAAGTCATCTCCATTTTCTGCTTCCTCACTTGCAATGCTGAACTCCACCCATTTCCTTTTCTTGCAGAGCTTTAGAAAGAAGAAAAAGCCTATGCCAGCTACGGTCATCACCCCACTGATCAAATAAACAGTTTTTGTAGCTATAGCCATTATCAAAATCAGAAAACTAGAGGGTACCAAACACATCATCACCAGCAATGGCAGATTCAAAGGAACCCTGTAAGGCCTCTTCATCGTGGGTGACTTCCATCTCAACCAAAGAAACGATGCAAATTCCAACAACATACCCAACCCATACAAAAAATTCGCTGAGGAAATGATGTCTTTAAGGTTCATGTAAGAAACTCCAATAGTTATCAAAGTAGACACCAAAATACCTAACCAAGGTGTATTGAACCATTTTGACCGAACCCCAAAAAACTTAGGCAAAATCCCTATCTCAGCCATACCCAAGAGCTGGTAAGCATTGCTACTTAATTGTGCTTCATATAGTCCAATTGTAGACAACACTGCCCCGATTTCAATCCAAATTTTCAACCATTTTCCTGCAATAATCTCTGCCGCTTGCGCATGGAACCCACTTTCCCATTCTCTCTGGTCCACAGAAACAGATCCAATGACAGCAAAGAGTGGAATCAAGTAAGAGACACAAGTGAAAATCACAGCAATGAGAAGAGCCAAAGGAAAAGTTTTCTGGAGGCTGTCAACTTCTCCTGCTAAAGTACTAACGTTGTCCCAAAAATTTAAGTTCCAAAAAAGGGTATTGAAGAACAAGTTCCAATCTTTCTTTACACCCTTTTGGCCCAAAATAACCCATCTATGCGGATGAATCTTTGGGATAGCAATAAGAGACATTAATATAAAGGGACAGAAAGAAACAATAGCGAGGAACACAGCAACATAACCAACAATAGTAAGACCAGTGTAATTGAGAAAAGAAAGAGCCAAAGTTGAACACAGAATTGCCACATAACGTGGCCAACCGGATTCTAGAAGAGGGAACATTTTCTTGACATAGTCGATGCAGAGAACAGGGAAAGATGCCATATTGATGACACTGCCGAGCATTTTCCACGTGCCCATAAGAGAGCCCCAGAATGGGCCGAAAGCCCGTTCGGCCCATATGACAAAACCGCCGTTACCAGGAATGGCGGTGGTTAACTCGGCGGTTATGAGGGCTTCAGGGACACTCCATGCAAAAGGGAATATGAGGAAGCCAAGAATGGCTAAAAGGGGACCCACAGCTTGAACCGCTGGTTCTTCGCCGTAAGGACCACCCGCAACTTCGAAATAGATCAGGAATATTAAAGGGATGAGGGTAAGCTTCTTCGTGTTTGTGGTGGTGGTCGCGGCGGCGGTGGCGGTTATGGTAGCCGCTGAAAGGTCTTCTTTTGTCATGAGTGATTACTGCTTTGTTTATTGAATGGTTGGTTTTAAAAAGGAGCAGCAGATAGGATCGTTGCGAACTAGAGAAGCTCATGCAGCTGCATGGATTTGGTTTTAAGTGAAAACAAAGATTAGACTGGAAAGCCCATGTTAAGGTAAGATTTTATTGTTTAAATACAGCTTCTCCTCTATATTCACATTTATTCTTTTTACATCCATTTCTATTTTTTTCTACCATATATATCAGTATTTACTTATTACATCTTCCATTTATTAATTAATTATTTTATCAATCTCTTCTTCTACCTGTTTGACACTCAATCAATCACTTAATACAATAGATAACTAAGTAGAGTGGCCTGTTTTAAAAGAAAAACTAAATAAATAAAGTTTACACATTTCTTGTCGCAGCTAGCTACTTTTCTATGAATAGTAACAGGCAAATAATAATAATAATTTAGTTCGATGGAAGGAGATAAATCATAATAATTTAGTTTGTTATTTGACACCCAGTATCAAGCACGAAAACGACAGCGTTGATATTAACTTGTTTATGGTGGCCACATGAGTGAGAGAACACTATCAGATAATTAAATTACAGTTGATAATTAACATAGCATAATATTTAAAATTTAACAGAAAAATAATCTATTTTCTATCACGTAAAAAATTATCTTTTCAAAACATAAAAAAATAATTACTAACTCTCTTAAATACAAGAGAATATACTAATTAAGAAGATTTTACCAAAAAAAAAAAATCATTTTTCTCTCTTAGAATTCACTCGGTTTCTGATTTGGGATGCTAACAAGGGACGAAGTGCTGCTATTTATAGTCGATGAATTGAGCTACACAATTAAATGCCACCTAAAATTTTCTAGTATCCAACCACTTCTCCGGCCTAGCATACGTAACGCAGTGAACTTTTTTCTCACTGCAATACTTTCAAAGCCAAAAATGTCTTCATTTACGAAAGTTCAATGTATGTAAGATTTTCAAATTAATGGTCATTCCTTTTGAAATATGGATTCGAGTTTAAATAAATTAATTATTAATACTTTTTAATTATATATAAAATATGGATTTGTGTTTAAATAAATTAATTTCTACATTTATTATAAAATTTATATTAATGAGATATTAATTTATTATTCATATTTGTAAATATATTTGATCATTTAATATATGAATTATCAATTTAGTTATTTAATATTATAGGTATTTTTAAATACGATATAAATTCATAAATATAATTATTTTTAAAATTAATTATTTGTTTCTTAAAGATAATTAAAGTATGTGTGGGAATCTTAAGCAAAGATTGAATAAAATGTAAATATTGTTTTCACTATTCAAGAATAGCTAAGCAAAGATTCAATGGTGCAGGTTTTCCATGCTTCATAGAGTATGTGGGGGAGATTAGTTGGCTAATTATGGTCATAAATTTCGAATAAGAAATCATATTCCGAATGCTCCTCTTTTGGGATGCTGTCATCTTGTTTTCCGGGACTCTGCTGAAATGTTATCTTCGCAGTGTCTTCATGTAGTTTTGTATTTTTTGGAACTATGTCCCTCTAATGTCAAAAACAAAATACTAAATTGGAGGACGAAATTAAGTAAAAGGAAAATAAATTATGGGATAGTGTGCATCAGAAAGCCACGTAATGTATTCAACTAGTAAATTCTGCTTCTTCTTTGTATGAGAATTTTTATGTTTAAATAAAATTTTTAAAAATAAAATTAAAAATATATCTCCATCATTTAATAATGATAAATATTTTATGTTATTAAATAATAATAAAATCAAAGTGATTCTAAATTTAAAGAGAACGTTTTAAAAATAAATCAAACAAATCATGAGATATGACCTTTACATCTAGTATATAATATGGTGTGTCATCTGTCACAACTAAATTCAAGCAAGTACATATCTCATGTAATGAATGACTCTATTTATAAAAGTATAAGTAATTAAATAAAATGTTGAAAATGATTGAATTAACGAATAATTATTTATTAATAATAAATATGATCAAATAATTAATTCTTTTAAGAAATTAAAGTATTAAATAAAATTGTGAAAAATCTCCTTATTTGAATAGTCAATAAAAAATTAATTAGTTTAAATTTGAAATTAACAAAAATGCAAGTTACAGAACTTGAACACTCACAAGTCGTCGTGGTTATTTAAGACGATGATTTATGCCTCCCAGTTTTATAAAATATCGTCGAAATTTGTCTCGCTTTGTTTTGTATACAGTATTTTATATTTAAAAAAATCTTTATTCACCGGATAATTTAGTATGAGAAAGATATATATATATATATATATATATATATATATATATATATATAATGTAAATTTTATAATTTTTGTTAGACTCACAAAATATATCTATGATAATATAACATTACAATTATTAATTATAAAATAAAAAAATAAAAAAAATTTATGATAATATTTAAATTATTTTAAAGTTTGAAATTAATTAGTACATATGAAATATTACTAATAAAAAAATATTTTAAAAAATATAATATATAATTTTATAAAATTATTTTACTTTTATATTGACGTATTAAGATTAATTAAAAAAGGTTTTTTATAATAAACTTAATTTAAATTTTATATCAGCTAGGTTAATTACGTAAACAACTATAATAATATTACTAGTTAGAATAGTTTTAATACTTAGATGAGTATAAGCTGTATTATTTGCAATAAGCTAACTAACATAAGAAATATATTTCATAACGAATGACCTAAATTAAAATGTGTTAAGAATTTTTTTTAAAGAATTTAAAAGTTAAATTTATATATTCATAAATTTGTCAATTCACGTAACATTGACAAAGAATACTATAATTTAAATATATTAAAATATTAGCAAATAACTTTACAACTAAACTTTAAAATAATAATAATAATAAAAAAGTAACATAAACATATAACTATAAAGAAAAAAAAAAACTTATTTGTAAAGAACTTATTTTTTTTCTAAGCAAAACAAATATTATTAAAAAGAGTTTAAGGGGAACTCAAAACTCATACACAGAAAAAATGACTTACTCAGAGAAATAAAAAGTAAAAATATACTTATACAAAATTAAGACAGATGCAATTTCGTGGGTTCAAATACCAATCAGCTAACATAATAGATTCTCCTTTACTAACAAGTGATAATCATTTCTATAATTTCAGAATAATAGAATCTAAGACCTCTCTCTTATCCAAAACATTCTATTTCTATGCAACTACAAAGACCACATTGTACTTACCCAAACAATTAATAAGCATATTCCTTCTCTTTTACTACAGCCAACACCAACCCAAGAAAGCAAGTGAGTCGATAAATCTGAAGGCAAAACCAGTGAGAATCCAAGCCAACGCGCAGTAAAGTACCAGATTTGAGATGAAACTGAATACGTTAAAAATAAATGAAATTAGAACCTATTTTAATGTATCAAATTTATGAAATTAAACATTTAACTCATTCTTAATGATGCTTTCTTTAAAGGCTTAATCATGGAATCCTATGTTTGTGGTTCCTCAAGGTGTATTTGTAACACCTTAAATTTAATTTCAATAAATAAGAAATTTTGCAAAATTTTGAAATAATAAAACTTTCATTTCTAATCTAAGTTTCGTTAAACATTTCAAAATAAAGAAAGGGGGTTACAATTTCATCAAACAGCTGCTACAGGACTTATTCCAATACAACAATTTTCAAAATACTATCCTAAGTCCTATAGCAGTTCCATCCACCCCTTCACTGAGTCCGGTGCTGATCGTCTTGATTACCTGAAAAATGGATGTAAGGGTGAATACTCTACACTACGCAAAAACACACAGTCAACGCAAAGTCTCACCTCCAGCACATTTTCAATACATTAAACAAACACAATCACAGGCAGCGTTATCACACAACTCATGTCAATTCAACATCGATGCACTCACGACATTGACAACATTTCACATCCATAAGTACAATACACAAACTCATGCATATGTACGCTAGCCACACTCATTGTGGCACTGTGATCACAAATTTACACCATGAATGGTCGCTAGTTATCCCCGCCTCACGGATACCACGTGGGCAGTCATGGGTCGCTCAGTAAAGATAGTGGTTAGAGTTCTAGTCAGGAAGAGAGTGTGTGGCCCGTGGTGCACCCGTTCCACAGTCGGTGTCACCACCACTCCCTCTTCCCCAAGGTATTCCTACCGTCCTCATCTTCCACACCCCCAGTGTATCGCTGAACCATTCACAGCACATTACAACGGCGCTATGCGTCCCATTCACATACATTTCATTCACACACATAATATTCGATGCACATGGCTCACATTACATTTCTCAATCAACTCATTCTCTGCACATTTTCTACCTCCTAACTCAACCACAACTCTATATTCAATCAATTACACATAAAAAGAGTAGGGTAGAGTCTCCTTTTACCTTGGGTCAACATCCCACACCCTAAATCTACCAAGAAGTGTTCATTTCTCACGGATTTTGTCCTAAACACATGGAGAAACTCCATGGGAACCTAGGAAAACTACGAAAACAGAGAAAAGGGATGAAAAACTGAAACCCTAACCATTAAAACTCACCTCCAAGCGTTCCTCACATGGATTTAACCTTCAATCAAGCTCCCAAACAGCTTTTGAGGCAATGTAATCGGTGGAAAGAGGTTTGGGAATGAGGGGATTCAGGGGACTTCGAAGGGAGAGGGAAAAATAACCCTCTCCGAACCCTAACTCCCTTTTAAATCCTTTTTTGGTCGCGACACTCTCACTACAGCAAAAAACTCATAGAAATTTACACTCTAGTTTCTGCAGAATCTCGTTACAGCGAGACTACACCCAAAAATGTAACCCAAATTGTCGCTTTATCGTTACAGCTAGACGTCTCTCGCTACAGTGAGAAGGTGACAGTTTTGGTCCTTCCTCCCAGGGCCCTCTCACTATAGCGATAATCCTCTCGCTGTAGCGAGAACAGCCCATAATTACACCCTGCACCTAGGCACTTAGTCCATTTTCAGCCTAACCAGTTCAATCAATCATACATCTACACATACATATATACATACATACGTACATATATATATATATATATATATATATATA